GTAAAGTAAGCAAAGAAGAAAATAATAAAGAGTAAAATTAATAAAATGCAAAAGAGAGAAAAATAAATGAAAACATGTCTGTTTATTGAAAAAATTAGTAAATTTGGGAAAAATCTATCTTGAATGATGAAGAACAAATGGGTAAAAATATAAATTACTAATATCAGGAATAACAAAAGGAGAATCACTTCAAATCTTACAGACATTTAAAGGATAATAAGGAAATAATGCAAAAAAAATTATGCCAAAAATGTGACAACTTAGATAGAAAAAATTCTTTGAAAGAAAAATCCCCCAAGTTGAAGAAGAAACAGATCTGAATAACTAGTAAAGAAACTGAATTCATAATTAAAAGCTTTCTCATAAAGAAAACACCAGGCCCCGATAGTTTCATAGGTAATTCTTTCAAATAGTCAAGCAAGAAATAACATATATAAAAGCTTTTAGATAATAGCAAAAGAAGGAACATCATCCAGTTCACATCATGAGACGAGCATAACACTGATACTAGTCAAAGGCATTACAAAACAAGAAAATTACAGACCAATATCCCTCATGAACAAAGACAGGAGCAAAATCCTTAATATGAGCAAAAAATCCTTAACAAGATATCAGTAAATCAAATACAGCAATATATAAAAAGGAAAATAAATCATGACAACGTGCAGGTTTATCTCAGGAATGAAAGACTGGATCAACATTTCAAAGTCAATTAGCATAAATCATCACATTGACAGAACAAAAGAGAAAAATCATATGATCCTCTCAATGGATGAAGATAAGAATTTGACAAATTTCAACAGACACTCATTATAAAAAAAACAAAAACTCTCCACAAACCAAAAATAGAAGATTAATCCCAGGTGTAGATAAATGTCACCTACAAAAACTCTACAAATAATATCATACTTTATAATGTATAAAAACTGAATGCTTGGTCTCTAAGATAGGGAACAATGCAAGGATGGCTGTTCTCATCACTTCCACCGATCATGGTACTGGAGGTCCAAAACAGTGAAATAGGCAGGAAAAAGAAACAAAATGTATAAAGTTTGGAAAGGAAGAGTAAAAGTCTGTTTATTTATGGGTGAAACGAACAAGTGTGTAGAAAATGCTAAGAAACCTAAAAAACCAAACAAGCATTAAACAGAAATTCTATTTAATTAGTGAATTTGGGAAAGTCAAAAGACAAAGGTAAAAATATGACAATTAATTAATTTCACTTCTATTTTCTCTCAATGAGCAATTGGAAAAAGAAATTTTAAAAATACCATTATAATAGTATCAAAGACAAAATATTTAGGGATATATTTAACAATATGTGTGCAAGACCCATACACTCAAAACTACAAAAAAAAAGCATTGCTGAGAAAATTCAATGGAACCTAAATAAATTAAGAGATATATCATGTACATGGATTGGAAAACTCACTATTGTTATAATTTTGATTCTCCCCAAATTGATTTATAAATTTAATGCAATCCCAATAAAATCCTACCAGGCTCTTATGTAGAAACTGACAAGCTGATACTAAAATCTATATGAAAAAATATATGATCCCTAGAATAGTCAAATCAATCTTGGAAAAGAAAAAAGGAGAAGGATATATAGTATCTGATTTCATGTCTTCTTTTTAAAGTTGTTAATCGAGACAGAGTGGTATTGGACTAAGGACAGACAAACAGATTAATAGAACAAAGTAGGGAATGCAGAAATAGACTCACATTCATAGGGTCAATTTTTTTTTTTTTGCCAAATTGTCATTCAATTCAATAAAAAAAAGGAGAGATTTTTCAATATGAGGCTAGAACAACTGGTTTCTATATGGAAATAACACCACCACCACCACCACCACTAAGCCTTAATCCATACCTCACATCATAAAAAAAATTAATTTGGAATGGATCATAAGTCTAAGTATTAAAAAAAAAATCTATAAATCAAATATTGCTAATATAGGATTTAGAAAGTACTAACCATAATAGAAGAAATTGATAAAATGGACTTCATGAAATTTTTAAAAATTCTGCTCATCAAAAGAAAATGAACTCACAAACTAGGTGAAAATATTTACAAGTCATATATCTGACAAATGTGATACTATGTATATATATATTATATCTCCTACAACTCATTAACAAACAACCCAATAACAAAATGGGCCAAAGATTTTAATGGACACTTCACAAAAATAAGAACTATTAATTAATGGTCAATAAATCCACGAAGAGTGTTCAACATCATTAGTATCTGAGAAACGCAAACTAAAAACACAATGTGATACCAGTACTCATCTACCAGCATGGCTAAAATTTAAGTGTGACAGCTCCAAAAGTTGGTGAGGAAGTAGAGCACCTGGAATTTATATACATTGCTAGTGGAAGTGTAAAATGGTATAATCTCTTTAGAAATAGGTTTGGCAGGTTCTCATAAAGTTCAATATACACCTTGCTTTAGTCCCCACTGCTCTTCTATCAGAAAACATACATTAGCTGCCTCTCCTTTAATACTCTGCTTTAACCGACTAGATGAAATTGTGCTGTCAAAGGACCTATCCCAGTGAACTCCTCTCATGCTAGGCCCTAGCCCCTTCCTGTCATGTTTTTGAAGAAGCACATAGAATGCTTTGTCAATAAACTCAGAGAAGGATCCACACAGATAATGTATGGATGTGAACACAGATATCATCCCTGAATTTCAGCATTAGGCGGCCCATAATAGAAGTAGACAAACCCATAACACCTCTGGTACTACTGAATGTACAAAGACGTGACTACATTAAATGTCACCTTCCAGCACATATCACATGGTTTAGCGGATACACCTGTCACTTTGTGTTCCTCATGATGTTCATACTAAACCATTCCGGGCACGACCTTCTGTGAAAGGGGAGCCACTCAAGTAGCTCTGGTGGACAGATTTGTGCATCACTCTTAGATTAAACATTATTTTCATTAATTGTTTTGATCCTCTCCATCTGACAATAAGTTATTAATTTATGTCATCCTCCATAACTATTTCCCAAAACACATGCCTCAGAAGATGAGTCCCACAAAATCCTTCATACTTAAAGAATCTGGAGTCAAATATATCTGAAAAAATCCTGCCTGCTATCTTTCAACCTCCTGCAGATATTCATATCAAATGTTAATATATTAAAGACTCTAAGGGGCCCTGAACTAAAGTAATTTGATTGATTTTGGTTAACCTAGACTTTAATGATACTTACTTGACTATAAAGCTTTTGTCAAATAATGCCTATGAAAATCTTGTGGAAATGAGCTAACATTTATTGAGCATTTACTGTATACATATATATGTCAGTAACTGTGCTGAGTACTTTAAAACAACCTTATGAGGTAGTGTTATTATTTTGCCTACTTTAAGTATATAAAGAAATTGAAGCTCAGAGAAGTTAAGTGACTTTTGCAAGGTCACAGAGTTAGGATGCACAGAAACCAGGATTATAACACAGGCCATCTGAGTCTAGAGTACAAATAATGAATTGCAATACTATAGAGTCTTGTTAGTGTTCTTAGAAACCAACTTGGGGAAACATTGCCTTATATTATTCAGTCTTCTCTCTTTACACTGACTTCTGAGGAGCAAAAGCAATTAACTATCCAGAACCAATCCACTAAGAAATCTTTTTTTTTTTTTTTAAGATTTTATTTATTTATTTATTTTTCCCCCCAAAGCCCCAGTAGATAGTTGTATGTCATAGCTGCACATCCTTCTAGTTGCTGTATGTGGGACACGGCCTCAGCATGGCCGGAGAAGCGGTGCATCGGTGAGCGCCCGGGATCCGAACCCGGGCCGCCAGCATCGGAGCGGCGCACTTAACCGCTAAGCCACGGGGCCGTCCCCCACTAAGAATTCTTAAGACGCATATACATTTCAGGCCTTTGGTCTTTCTAAATTTTAATGAAATATTAAGGTGAAGCGTGTTTTTTCACCAGCTTTAAAAAAGGTTTAAATCCCGTTGCAAAATGTAACAGTTATAAATTAACTTTTTTTTTTAAATTTTGATATAAATATTATCTGACTGGCTATACCTGACACTGGGATCCAGAATGATTCTGAATGACTTGACTGAATGTGTGATAAATCATCATTTTCTTTCTCCAGATCAATGAAAAACATTCTTGAAAGGATTAATTGTCTGAGGTTCTGCGTTAGGTGAGAGACCCAAAGAGAATTTTAGACACAGTCTGTTTTGGGAGCGACAGCTCACACAATAAAGCTTTATAATTTTCATTTATTATAGAAAAATATGGCAATATCAATATAGAAATTATTTTTACATCATTTTAAGTAATAGGTTAAATAATTTTTATTTAAGCAATTGTGGCTAGTGGTATATTATATAAACAAGCTTGAATAGTAATACATAGTGTTTAAAAAGATTATTTTAAATTTATATTTTTTGAGACTATATTATATCATACTTAACTACTTGCATACGATTAGATGGCTGCTATTTATGTTTCATTATTATAGATAATGTTTCCAAGAATATCAATGGGTACATAATTCTCTTTCTGTTATTTGTTCAGGAAAAATTCCCAAAGCATTTAGTCATATGGTATGATCATTTTTATGAGTTGAACTCTGCCATCAGTGATTTCTAAAAAGGTCTTTACAATTCATCAACAATATGGGACTCTACCAATTTTATTATATATTTAGTAGCTTTGAATATTTTCTTTATTTTTCATTTTTTATGACTGTAAAGATATAAAATTATTCCTCATTATCATAATCATATGAATTTTTTAGCCACATTTGGGCATTAAGTTACTAAAACTATTAGAAACAATATTTTGAGTAACTTTACATAGAACTTTCAAAATTTTTCACTCAACTTTGATTTACTACTATGTGTCAGATGTTGTGCTAGGTGCTGGAGCTCTCTCCTTCTCAATTTCTCCTTTTTTCCTTATTCACCACAGTGTTACATTTGGAGTTTACAGATTCATCCGCTGAATGCATCCATTACCTTTCTGTTTCACCTTGGCTAGTTTGTCAACCTCCCCTCGGGCATTTCTAGCATGACAGACATAGTTGCGCTTGAGATCCTCAGCAGTAACTTTCTTGATGCTCAAAAGCTGAGTTCTCCATTCATCTTCCGTTAGAGTCTGACTTACACTAGAAATAGGGGAAAGAAAATCAAAGCATTAGTGAGATACAAGGGTCATGTGCTGTGTGTGAATCAGACAAGTAGACAACCACAGAGCCCCTAGGTGAGAGCAGACAGAATTCGATAACCTGTGTTGCCTGTGATCCAATGGTTGCAAAAAGAGAATAGCTTCTAGATCCAACACTATTCTTTACCATCTGTATTACCCACAGTCCCAATATCTAGATCAAACCCCAGTGTTGGCATATCATACTATAGATCTCTCTCCAAAGCAAAATATCTCCTTCTCTCAAACTTCTGGGACAGGAAGCTTCTGAGGCCAGATCCATTTGGGTATTGGTCCAGGCTTTGCCACTTATTGGCTATATACTTTGGGCAGGGTAACAGTCTTTCCAAGTCTTGAGTTCCTCTTTTGAAAAAGAGGAAAGTAGCAATGCCTACACAGTGCATTACAGGTATTAACTTCCTCAAGAACTCTGAAAATTGAGTATGTTAATGTGTAGATACTAGAACAATGCTTAATAAACATTCATATATGCTATTATTATTATCCCACAGTAAGAGTTGATGCATTTCAAGGATTCCCAAAGCTTGGATTTTGAACATAGGTAGAATATTTCGGTCAAAATGCTGAAAACTCATGGTTAAATCCTAACATACAAAAACAAGAAACTGCTTGGAGCAAGTAAACTTTGTGAAAATAAATATATCCAAATCTCAGCAAGTCAGAGCTCAAGTGCTTTGGGTCCAAGATCAAGATTTAAAAATCCCTTCAAACTACTTGGCTCAAAAGGGAAAAAAATCTCTCTCACAGCTGACTGCCATCCAGATTCTCCTTCTGATAAGGCTTACGGTTAGGCATAAGAACTTGGTTAAGGGCTGTGACGGGTTTAGCCTAGGCTTAACTGCACTGTTCAACTATGAACAGTATGTGTTTTAACAGCAGCAAGGAGGAACAACATGACTTTCATTATTATTTATTCATTATTTTTATGAGGATAGGAAGCACAATGTTCAGAATTACTGAAATGATCAATAACTCTCCCTCTGTGCCTCCAGAAACATCTTTCATCAATTACTTCTGCCAAAACTGCTCCAATTTTAGGAAGCTGCTTCTGTACCTTTGAATATGCTCTGCATCTCTAACCTCCAGGCCTTTGCACATGATGTTCCTTCCACCAGGGATAGTTCCCATTTCTTTATCTAGTTAATTTTGACTCATCCTTCAAATCTTTATTTAGGTGCTCTACCACCTGAGAAGCATTACCTAATCCTATAAAACTGACTGGAATCCCCAAGTAAATCTTCCCATAACATTCAATACTTCCCACTCATTGCATTTATCACATTATATTGAAATGTCTGCTCTGTCATTGTTTCTCCTATAAAATCTACCTAGTTTGGGACCAAGTACTTTGCATAGTACTTGATGCAAAGTAGACATTTTACAACTTCTGCACAAAGTCTGAGTTTATTATTAGGAAATAAATATCCTTTAAATTCTAGGAGTTCAAGTAACCTAAGATCTATTTGCACAGCGGTGACAAGGCTTAAGGAAGTGGAATTACTTTGTCATGTAATTGGTCAGCTGTAAATTTCTATTAACTGCTGCAGGGAACCAATTGCTCTGCGCTTCATTTACAGAGGAACCTTTTGTCTTCATATTTTCCTCCTTATCAACCCAACCCCCTTCAAAAGAAACTCAAGTTTAAAAATGAAATGACCTAGGTTGTTATTTTAAGAGGGAGCTATATTACCACCCCATCCACTTTTAAAATAAAATTTAAAGAACATAAATGCACTTAGTCAATATTAAAAAAATAATTATCAATTATAACTGTGACATACATGCCGTGCGAATTAAAGAGGAGGAGGAGGAAGATATGGAACCAATGCCCAAGGCAAGACAAGAAACTAACACAGTTATCTGAGGCACAAATATGCCCAGACTCCAGACTTGAGAAAGAGAAGAACCACAATGACAGGCTTTCATCTACCCACAAGCCTATATTGGAGCCTTTTCATTCACGTAAGATATGCGTTCCATCTACTTTTAAGTGGGTATCATAAATGTGTGATCATCAGATGGTTTCTGGGCCTTACTGCAAGTCCAGTAATCCTGCTTTGGGATGCAGCCACTAAAGACTTGAAAATCTTGCTGACTTTTGCTAATGATAGGCAAAAATGAGAATTTTTATTTTCATTGATTAGCATACACCAGAGGGAATTCGATTGACGGACAAAGGTTAGTCACCCCCTTGCCTGCGCTAACGATACCTTTCATTAACAGTTACGTTCACAGCGGTGTCGTCTGGCTTTTTTCCATCAATGGTCCACCAAACCTCATTGCGAGAGTCTTTCAGGTAAGTAAAATAGACTTTACAGGGGATGAGTAGCTCCTCTCCTAAAAAAACAAGTTAATCCATCAGTTTGTAACTTTCACATGGCTATGTTGGTTCTACTCTGTGACTAATCAGAAGCTATAAAAATTACATGCACCAAAAACCCTACTTCTGAGGCTACCATAAGGCAATGTACCATACTTTGTTCTAAAACAAACCAACCCAAGAAAAGGTGCCATAAACTCTCTATAAAATTACTACAATGACCATCTTTTGATACAATTGACATATACGTTCTAAAATAACAATATTTGTTCAAAAAGGCTCTGACGATATTCTTTTTAGTCCCAAACCTCCATGGACTACTCTTCTCTGGTATTTCTCTCATGAACAAAAGGTGACTAAGGAAGGGTTCTCCAGCTTTTTGGTCCTTGGCTCAGAGAAGATGGGCCATTGCCATCACTGAGAGGACTGGCCAGACAGGTCGTGTCTTGAAAGGCTCAAGCTACCAGGGTGCATTCAATAAATTTAAAGACAATTTACAAATAGAAAATTCTATGCTATCCTTCTGAGATGGGACACGAGGTTCAGGGGCATCTCTAGGTAGAAAATGGTAATAAAAAAAAATAATAATATTAACAACAGCAGTAGTAGCAGCACACTCACTTAGAACTTTGATTAATTCACTGTGCTAAATACTTATACTTATTCATGGTCTTATTTAATTTTAACAAAATACCATGAGGTACTTTTGTTGTTGTTGTTGTTGAGAAGAATTCGCTGTGAGCTAACATCTGTTGCCAATCTTCCTCTTTTGGCTTGAGGAAGATTGTCCCTGAGCTAACATCTGTGCCAGTCTTCCTCTATTTTGTATACGAGTCGCTGCCACAGCATGGCTGATGAGGTGTAGGTCCACGCCCGGGATCTGAACCTGCAAACCCGGGCTACCGAAGCGGAGCGTGCTGAACTTAACCATTATACCATGGGCTGGCCCCACCATGAGGTATTTTTTAAATTTATGTTTTACAGATGCGAAAACTGAAGCTTAAAGATACTAAACGCAATCTCTGGATTAAATTGTTAATAAGTGGCAGACCAGGATTTGACCTAGACTGACCTTCCATTCCAGTTTGCCCAGGGCACATCTGTTTTATGCTTGCTTTCCTCGTTAGTTATTAATATTGACTGATTTCACCCTCCAAAAGTATCCAGGTTTAGATGACAAATTATATCATCCTAATTTGAACTCAGGTGTGTCTCATTGAGTGGTCATACTCTATCCTCTCTTCCAGTGTATGGTTCTTAGATCTTTCCTCTCCAGTTTTCTCTATCAATATGTAGGAAAACAAGTCAACAAGCACTCAGGAATGCTTTTGTAACCATAATAGGATAGGTATATAAAACATATTTAGGTGATCAGTAAGGGTTTACCCTGATAGCAGGAAAAATGTTCATATTACTATATAAAGCCACTGCTAATTCCAAAAAATCTGATCCATTTGGGGTTGGGAGACCCCTTAGTGTGTTCTCTGTTTTTTTACAAGGCAGATTACTATTTGAAACCTGATCGTAGTATATACATATTTTTTTTGGTATTGTTCTCCATCTATGTTCATCACGGCCTCTATTATCTTTAGCATATTTTAAATGAATGTTCTTTTATACTTCTCATTGGGTTTGCAGTGAATTTATTATAAAAGATAATACAGAAACCATTAACATCTTCTATGGTTTTCAACTTAACTGTGGAAGGCTTTGTGTCAGAAGAATAACAAATTATGCGTTATTTGGTCAGTTACAAATATCTTTGTCTAGAATGAAGAATTATGAAAACTAAAAGGAGACCCAGATAGCCATAGCACACACGCAATGGTGTTCTGAATCAGGGTCCACTGGTTCCATCAGTTGTTACCTATTATATCCACAGTCCTGACTCCACGCTCCACCTCTCGCCCCTTTGTAGTGGAACGGAAGCTGAAAGGATGGCTTGTGCCCATGTTGCAGCCTTGGCAAACCAAAGCTCTGTGCAAGCTAAAGTTTGCATCAAACAGAAATCACTAATCAGGAGCATAAAACCGTTCCCAGAGGAAGAGGAGAGTAGCTGCTGAGAGAGAAGCAGTGAATCCCTGAGCTGCCCATGAGATGGATGAAGAGGCTAGTCCCCAGAGCTTCCTCGGGTTCTGACAACATTTCAGTTGCAATTCATGTGTTTTTTTTACAATAGCCCTCTATTCTCTTGCGTTAACTTATGTGACATTTTATTAAGAGACTCTAACTGCAATTCAGAGGCACAGATATAATTACCCGGTTCTTTCTCATAGTCCACAAGATCATTGGGTGAATGGATCTGGGGGGGCAATACGTCTTTTGGAGACCCTGTGAGAGAGAGAAAGAACAAAAGGAGATGATATTAAATTATGTAGTCTTGATTCCTCATAACACATTTCAAAAATTGGCTCTTCTGTGAAGTCTTGCCCAACTTCCCAGCATGGTTTGTCAATTCTTCTTGAGAGGACCCACAGTCCAATATACAGTCAATTACAGCACTTCAGTCATTTAAAACAAGCAAAGAAACAAAGAAAACATATTGAGTATCCTCTATATTTCAGGATAGAATGTTTAACAAATGTTTTTGCTTTCCAAAGCTTACAAGAGGTAGATTTCTCATATTACATAATAATGAATCGCTCTCATGTCTTACTCAATTGTTGCTTTTCTACATATTTCTCCTTAACGCACCCAGAGTGTCTAGCATGGGACCTGGTTAAATAAATAAGTATTAAATGAATAAATAAGTAAATGGAAAATTCAAAATCACAATTGTGAGGCCAGCATGTAAGTCTACATGATGTCCATCAGTTGAATGTTTATTCATAGGATTGCTGCTCTTTATTACATTTTGTATTCCTAAATTAAAATAAAAGTACCCTGAAGGGGCTTTATATTATGGTGTTTAAGAGTAGAGACTTCAAAGATTTAATGATCAGGGTGTTCTAATCGTGACACGGCTATATACTAACCATATGCCCCTGTTTTTTTTACTAAATCCTTGAAAAGCTAATTTTCTTTAACTCTAAAATGAGGCTAATTAAACTCATCTCACAGGTTCATTGTAAGGATTAAATTAATTAATGTATATTAGAGCATCTACTACTGGCATATAAGTACTCAATACTTCACAGTTTTAAAAAACTTGTGTTGCTTAAACGTTGGATAAGAAACACCCACCTCCCCACATCTGTGTCTGTCAGTTTCTGTATCTATAAATCAGAGTGACCAAGCATGCCTGTTCCCAACTTTCCAAAAATGGATACATTTAAGTCTATATGTTAGAAACAACCGCCAAGATGAATATAAGGTTAGATTATTCATTTGACTTTTAAAGTCCACTCATGTTAGGTTCTAAATTTAGTTTGATTTTTCTTCTGAATTAGTCTCCAACTCAGCACTATTCAAAAAGTAAGCAGGGAAAGAGGAAAAGTGATATATAAGTGTTTGATTTGAATTTTATTTGCACTATGTTAAAGCCCTTAAAAAAATTATGCTGAATCTGGTGTCAGACTAGTAGAAAAAGCCATAAACAAAGAGTCAGAAACCTGAGATTTAGAATCACTTCTTCTACTAACTCATGGAGTGTCTCTAAACAGTTTACTTTCTGTCATTTGGCCACAATGTTTCCATCTATTAAAAGATGGGGTATGAAAATATCTCACTCTGATCTGCTCTTACTTTAAATAGTGGGCACAGTGGCATTTAGGGCTCTCCTCTAAATGCCATCTCTCTTAACAATGGTTCTCTTGATTTCTGGGTTTGATAAGAGTCTGTTGACTCTTCCTAGACACTGTTCTCTCCACTTCCCTAGTTTCGCACGCTCTCTTCTCTTGCGGTAAAGCAATGGTTGAACACTGCCAGCAAATAGCTTTATTAGCTACAAAAGTTCCAGTACCTAGAAAGACATCGTTTATTTAATTCAAGTAAAACACTTTTTTGACAATAACATTAACTACTATTCATTGAATCTCTACTGCTTGCCTGGAACTGCATTAGCATAATATGTACGTTGTTTCTAATATTCTCAACTACCCTGAATGTTAGGTAGTCTTGGTCCGAGCATAGAGATAAGAAGACTGAAACTTTGATCAAAGTCCTACTGCTAATAAATGGCAGTGCTATAATTTGAACACAGATCTGTCTGACACTCTTTTTACTGCCCAAACTGCCTTTACCTCATTCATTCACATATTCATTCAGTAGACCAAGTTATTGAAAGCCCACTATGTACATGGAATTGCTGGAGGTTCTGGGGACACTGCAGTGAACCAAAAAGATAAGCCTCTTTTCTTATAGAGTTTACACACTTGTTTGTAATAAACTATTTGGAGATAAAACCAGATTATTGCTTTTGTTTTTTTGGTGAGGAAGATTGGCCCTGAGCTAACATCTGTGCCAACCTTCCTCTATTTTGTATGTGGGATGCTGCCACAGCATGGCTTGATGAGAGGTCCATGCCCGGGATCTGAACCCACGAACCCCAGGCCGCCAAAGCAGAACGCGCGAATTTAACTACTATGCCACTGAGCCAGCCCCAATTATTGTATTTTTGTTGTGTGCACTTAAATACAAATCATGCTTACCTACCACCTTTACAGTCAGGGTCCTGGTGAGATTGAAGGTACGCCCATTTTCTGGATACGTAACAACACATGTATAATTTCCATTATTTGAAACCAAGGCTATGAGAAAACTCAAGTTCATGCCTTCAGTTACCACATTATGAAAGTCTTTTATTTTATGACAACCCTAGAAGACGTAAAAGAAAAGATGTTTACTATTTTGATTCATGCACAGATAATAGACAAACACATATACACATCTAATTTTGCACAGAACATACAAATATCTATGCTGGCTGCACTTTTTACAAAATAATTTTGGTGAAGTACGTTTCTGCAAAGAATGAATGCAATAAGTTTAATTAGCTTTTTTGCAAAACCAATTAAAATTTTGAACTGAGATATGAATTCAAAAGCACAAACTTCCTGTCTCAGGATCCAGTATTTGAATCCTGGGAAACTCATGTTAATAGTGAAACAAGGTTAAAGTTTTGGAAAACAACTAAAACAACATAACTGCATACTCTGCTATTTATAAAACAATTATTTTTCATTTTCCTACATTTCTTCACTGATATATTAATTTAGGAACCCAGTCACTCTGTTTGATAAACTAGGTCCCAATTTAGACGTCTGATTTTGGCATTTTTCATCACTCTGTTGAATCACTATATCAATCATTTCCAAACTTTTTTGTGTTTTTCTTCTATTACCCCATTTGTTACAACTGAATATCAGGGACTCCAGAATCTAAAAATAAAAGATATTTTATGGATTTTACCAAGAGTTAAGAGTTTATTTCTGCTCCAACTCATATTTTCATATAACTTTGTTGATTTTTAAAATTTTGAGATTGAAATATCTCATTCAACATAACTAGAATCCTATTTTGGATCTCTCAGCCCCACTAATTGGCTATATTGTTTTATTGTTTTCTTTTAAATAAAAAAATGATACAATCATCTGTGACAAAAATATACGTTGAACATTTAATTTTAGAAAAACGTTGTGTTTGTTTCTCTTTTAAAAATCAATAATTCATCTATGACAACAAGGATTAGGTTATCCCTAAGGTCCTTTAGACCTTTAAAATTCTGGGAATCTACTACTGGCTTGCACTTTCAATTTCCGGTATTCACGTATTTGCCTTTAATTCTTGTATACTTAAGGTTTTCTTACTTCAATTCCTGGAGTATGTGTTTTGAAATATGACAGTTACACTAAGTTGCACATTTTGTAATTCTTTGTCACAGGAAATACGTCTTTTAGAACAGCACTAAACTTTTGATTCATGGAGATGATCATCAAGAGGAAGCTGATATATGTGCAGTTACTTCCTGAATGCAATTTATCCTGTTTTGATAAGCAATGCTTCTAGACACTCGTCACATTAGCAAAGGATTTCAATACTCTTAGGTTATCACAAAGTATAAGGCCACAAAGGCGTGTACTCTTACGATGAATTTATGTCCGATTTGGTTTCAATTGAGTTTAGACTATCTATAGAACTCTAATTTGATTTTTGTGGCACCTTTCATTTAAACAGTTCAAAGCTATTTTCTTCTCTCATTTGTTAGCTTAGCTGTTCTTAAATCCCTGTGAAGCAGACAGATCAGACTAAATATGCTCTAGTGTTACAGGTGGAAAAAAAATGAGACAGACAGATAAAGTGATATTCTAGATAACACAGAGCAGAGCTAATCTCAGTTTTCCAGACAGCTGAATAAAGTTCTTCTACTAGTTTCTTAACCAAAAATGAACCCCTCTTCTCAGCAGTTAGCTGAGGCTAGAAAAAGTATACTGACACATGCACTTACATGTACTCCATTATTTCATCCAACCCTTATTCCAAACTTAGTGAGTTTGGAATGCTCTTATGCCCATTTTATAGATGAGGATACGAAAGCCTAGAAAGGTTAAGTAATTGCCAATGTCATAGAACCAGGCCGTGTCAGAGCAGGAATTTGAACCTAGATCTATCTGTTTGGGGCCATTTGTTTTTAATCCCACCTGACACTGTCTCCCCACCCTATACTGTGGTCCTGCCCACATGCCAGGTCTAGGGCCAGCCCCAGTGCTAATAGTGTGATGTGGCTGTATCACTTATCTGAAGCTGATTCCTACAATTAGTGGTAAATTGGAAAAGCACACTTTTAAGGATAAATTAGCTATTAGTACTGAACTTATCAACAGCACTTCTTAAGATTGTGCTGAAAGGAACTTTTTTTTTTGGCTCGCCAAATATTATATATGTAAAAACGATTTAAAATACATTGTTTTAGGACTCATAGTATGTGCTACAAATATAAAAAACATGCTTCTGACTCAAAATCTTTTCACTCATCCATTCACCCTTGATAATTAATCAATAAACCATGTGCCAAGCACTGTTTAAGGTTCTGATAATACAGCATTGAATAAAACAAAGAGTCAGCCCTCATAGACTTATCATTAACAGAGAAATGGAATCAAACACATATGAATAGCAAGGAAAATGGTACAAAAAAGGTGTGTGTTAACTTCTTGCTAGCTCCCTCCTTCTCTTCATCTTATTCCAAACCCATGAGGATGAACTTAAAATTTGGGTTGGATATGCTTAAGGTTATTCATTGGGCCTGTGTATTAGTGGTGTAAGTTTGCTTCTTCTTGGGATTCTTCTCTTCATTCCATTAGGTAGGATAAAAATGTAGGCCAGGGACAGGTTTTTCTTGGAGCTGCTTTGCCTAGAAAAATATTTCAAATTAACGAATATTCCATAAAAAGCAATGAGAAACTTTGGGGTCTAATCTACAATTCAGAAAAAGCTGACCATTCGAAATTGTTAAATTAACTAGTTTTAACCAAAAGAAATAAGAAGAAAAGAGCCATTTCAAAGCTATTAGACCTATAGCATATTAGAAAAGGAAATGAAGGAACTATTTTACATTCTAGTGTGCATGTACCTGGTGGAGATAGTGTCAGGGCATTGTTGAGCTGTAAATATCCATTAACTTTGGCCTGTAATGTCTGATGAGCTCTCTCTATTTCTTATAAGCAGATGTATCTCTAGACCCTTAGGCACATGTGCCTGATACACACAGGATATTTTTAAAGATAATAAACTATTCCTGAAAATAAATCCTGCAAATTTTATGATGGTTTCAAAATTATGTGGAATACAGAAAAAAAAGATATGAGCAAAGATCTAGATATCCAAAGAATAAAAAAACATGTTTCCAAATACAAGAAACGGGTTAACAGTAAGTAGATTTCCACTATGAAGCAAACACTTGTCTGACTAGAAGACAAGTCATCCATTTAGTTGACCCATCAGTTCCTCATTCTGAATTCAAAAGAGAGAAGTTAAACAGAAGAGCAACTTTTCAACCACATAATGGTAGCCATGGCAACCTACCACAACCTATAGGTAAAGAATAGCACAAAAAATGACTTTGAAATCTTTGAGAGGAAATAAATCATGTTGGTGAGGCATAGGGTGTGGATGTCATGACTAAGAAGGACAGATATATCCATTCAATAAGTCTACAACTTTTAAAGAACTGTGTGAGGGCACAAAAATGGAAAAGACACAATTCCTAACCTATAGGTATGCACAGTCTCCCGGAGAATTGCAACAAATACTATGAAAGGCATGTTGGGGTGGGGGAGTGAAGGAAGATCACAGAGAAAAAATTTAGAAAACTTCATGGAGGATGAAGATCTGGGCTGGAGCTTAAAAGATAAGTAGAATATTAACAGATATTCAGAAGTAGGGGCGACATGGGAGAGAGACACTCCAGGCACAGGAAAAAGTGTGAACAACTCCCTTGTAACTTGTACAGCATTTTGCCTTCTCTGTTAGTACTTGACTAACTTTATTATAATGATCTCTTTTCTTGTTTATCTCTTCCTCTAGAAAATTGACTCCTGTGGGGGCAGGTGGGTGTGGATGAGTGCTGTATATGCATAGCCAGCAACTTGCCCAATACTTGACAGATGGTAAATGCTCCTTACATTTGTGTTGCATAATCAAACAAATGAATGAGAGAAGCAAAGACACAAGACATGGAGGTAAAGCTCATGCAGTATGCAAATAATAATATGAAGATCAGTAAATGGAACATAAGACGTGGGATGGGTGAATTGTAGGATGGGTAGGGAAAATGGAAGAATACAATGAGTTTAACTGAGATATAAGGTTAGAACAATTAGGAATATCTATTGACGTTTTTGCATCCAAGATTAAGTTGGTATAAAATAGATCATATTTGTTCACAAAGTCTCTATACACCAGTCTATACACCAGTTCTATACACCAGTCACTTCCAATGAACAGAACTAAGTCATCCAATGTTTATGCAACAAATATTTACAAAATCCCTCCTTTGTGTTAGGCACCGTATTAGGAGCTAGGCATACAGTACAGTAGGCAGTAAAAACAGAAATGGCCTTTATTCCCATGGAATTTTCCAATCTAGTCTAATTCATTCAATTATTTAATCAATTCCTAAATTCAAAGTATATTGGCTCAGTTTTGTGCTGTGTGCTTGGTATTCAAGGGAAAGAAAAATAGAGAGGTCACTACTGAGTATAGAAGAGAAGAATGCAATCATTACAGTAACAAAGATGAGATACAAATTAAGTGCTATCAAAATACAGAGTGGGTGATTCATTCAGTCTAATTCAGTCTCAAGGCTTCACAGATATTTGAACTGGATTTAAGTTTAAAGGATGAATCTCGGGTCCTCAGAAGCCCTGAAACTATATGTAAAATGCTTTGTGTATATATGCATATATGGAATTAAATGTGTATAGTTTGGAAAGAAAATATGATATACACTCCCTTCATACCAAAGGTTAAAAATCACTATATAGGGACTATAGGGAAAGGAAAGAGATAAAGAACCAACCAAACTAAGTTGTCAGATCAAATTGAAACAAACACTTTAAAAATAGTCTATTACATAGACCTTGGACTAACTTCTCAACAATATGTGCTATGCCAACAAGAAAGCCAAGCCTGGCACTTTTTCAGAAATGTGCTTTCCTGATGGCACTTTGTCAGGAAAAGAAAAGATTTTCCTATTTTCTGAAAGAGATTTATATATAATATCTGACCAATTCTGATTAATTTCACACTGAAAATTAGAGATGGGAGTTAATATACCAATTTTAATGATCACATTGAGTACAAGGACAACCAGCTTT